CCACTGAGTGAGTTCATTTACCTGAGCTGTGAGATATAAGGCAGACACTGAAGGAAACTCCTCACTTCACTCTCTTCATGTGAGCAGCCTGTCAGCTCCACTTGTTTCTTCTCTGGTTGGAGTTTCAGCACTTCCAGGAGGATGGAGGTCTTTCTCTCTGAGAGGTTTATGGACCAGACTGCAGGAGCTGACTGGAAAAAAATGTTTTAATTTCCAACAATTTACTGTAATGATACAATTTAATATTTCAATATTATATTTTTGTCACCAATATTTCTGTTTACACATTTGATTTCATCCACTTGGAGTCCATATTTCAGTTATATTTCTACTGTACCTAATATCAGAGGGAAACATTGTTTTCTGCACAGCACTGTGCTTATTTAATTATTTTCAGTAATTTGTTGCCTTGAACCTGATATTATAGATGTATGTGTGATCAGTTCAAAACAACTGAATCCTTATGACATGTTCTTCAACCATACATAAAAAAGTAATCTTTTATTTTCAAAACATTGTTTTATTTAATTTTATCGTTGTAATCAGTAATATACTTTGAATGGTTAAAATCAGTTGTGTTTCAGTGAGTTGTTACCAGCTAATCCAAGTTCATGAAAGTCCCTGTGTGACTGAACAAATGAATCACAGAAGAGTGTGGAGAACACAGATGTTATTATTTGAACTATTTGACTGAAAGAGTCTGAAACACGATAATCTTCTCCCTGTATGAAAATATTTGAAATAATGTGATTAATGATAAAAATGTAGCTCAGTAACAACAACACAGTCATGTTGAAACATCATCATGAAAGATACAAATAATTCTTGGATGTTCAGAAACACTGTAAATCACCATTGCTGATGGATTTTGGAATATCGTGTCAGATTCAAGTTCTTAAAAAAGAAAAGAGCAGTTACTATGTGTGAACTAGTTATATCTTGGTAAATGGACTCATTCTTAAATAGCGCTTTTCTACTCTCCCGGAGTACTCAGAGCGCTCTATACAACATGTCACATTCAGCCAATCTCACAATCTCTGACTGTAAACTGAGTGCTGTCTAACTACATTCACACACCTTCACACTCCGATGGATGCATTGAAGAGCAACTTGGGGTTAGTAACTTGCCCAAGGATACTTGGCATGCAGACTGAAGGATCGAACCCCCAACCTTCCAATTAGTAGATGACCAGCTCTACCTCCTGAGCTACAGCCACCCCCTTAAATTTAATCCTGTAACACATGAAGATGTGCAGAATAAGTGTGATTTCCACGTGTGTGATCTGAGCAGCAGGTGAAGCTGCTGTTGTACAAGATATGAAGTGTAGATGTTGTTGTTCCACTCTGTGTTTCTATGTTGTTGATATTTAGTGTTTTACTCTCTAAAGTCAGACAGCAAATAAAATGACAGTTACAGTTCAGCACAGTGATTTCACACACAGGATTAGTGTTTGTGTTGTGAGTCAGTAACAGTCTAACAACAATGTTCAGC